TAGGGATCCTAATGCATATAGATACAAATGGTCCAATGGGAGCAAGAATCTCCAGGAACATTTGGAACATTTCATTTCTGAGCAGAATAGCCATTTTCAAGTAGTGTTCGATCGATTACGTATTAATCAATATTCGATTGATTGTTCTGAGGTTATCGACAAAAAAGATTTGTCTAAGTCACTTTGTTTCTTTTTGTCCAAGTTACTTCTTTTTTTGTCCAAATTTCTTCTCTTTTTGTCTAACTCACTTCCTTTTTTCTTTGTGAGTTTCGGGAGTATCCCCATTCATAGGTCCGAGATCCACATCTATGAATTGAAAGGTCCGAGTGATCCACTCTGTAATCAGTTGTTAGAATCAATAGGTCTTCAAATCGTTCATTTGAAAAAAAGGAAACCCTTCTTATTGGATGACCATGATACTTCCCAAAAATCGAAATTCTTGATCAATGGAGAAACAATATCACCATTTTTGTTCAAGAAGATACCAAAGTGGATGATTGACTCATTCCATACTAGAAAGAATCGAAGGAAATCTTTTGATAACACGGATTCCTATTTCTCAATGATATCCCACGATCAAGACAATTGGCTGAATCCCGTGAAACCATTTCATAGAAGTTCATTGATATCCTCTTTTTATAAAGCAAATCGACTTCGATTCTTGAATAATCGATATCACTTCTTCTATTGTAACAACAAATTACCTTTTTATGTGGATTATGTGGAAAAGGCCTGTATCAATAATTATGATTTTACGTGTGGACAATTCCTCAATATCTTATTCATTCGCAACAACATTTTTTCTTTGTGTGACGGTAAAAAAAAACATGCTTTTTTGGAGAGAGGTACTATTTCACCAATCGAGTCACAGGTATCTAACATATTGATACCTAACGATTTTCCGCAAAGTGATGACGAAGGGTATAACTTGTACAAATATTTCCATTTTCCAATTCGATCCGATCCATTCGTTCGTAGAGCTATTTACTCGATCGCAGACATTTCTGGACATCTGAGATCGCTAAATGTTCAGGAGTTCCTCTATTTAATCCTTTTCCTTATTCTTGTTGCTGGATATCTCGTTCGTACACACCTTCTCTTTGTTTCTCGAGTCTCTAGTGAGTTACAGACAGAGTTCGAAAAGGTCAAATCTTTGATGATTCCATCATACATGATTGAGTTGCGAAAACTTCTGGATAGGTATCCTACAGTGGTCCCGCTTATGGGGTCAAATCAAGACGTTCTAAGAAGAAATATTGGAATCTCGTCGATCTCATAAGTATTATACCAAATCCCATCAATCGAATCGTTTTTTCGAGAAATACGAGACATCTAAGTCATACAAGTCAAGCGATTTATTCCTTGATAAGAAAAAAAAACGTGAATGGTGATTGGATTGATGATAAAATAGAATCCTGGGTCTCGAACAGCGATTCGATTGATGATAAAGAAAGAGAATTCTTGGTTCAGTTCTCTACCTTAACGACAAAAAAAAGGATTGATCAAATTCTATTGAGTCTGACTCATAGTGATCATTTATCAAAGAATAACTCTGGTTATCAAATGATTGAACAACCGGGAGCAATTTACTTACGATACTTAGTTGACATTCATAAAAAGTATCTAATGAATTATGAGCTGAATACATCCTGTTTAGCAGAAAGACGTATATTTCTTGCTCATTATCAGACAATCACTTATTCACAAACCCCATGTGGGGTTAATCGTTTTCATTTCCCATCTCATGGGAAACCCTTTTCGCTCCGCTTAGCCCTACCCCCCCCTAGGGGTATTTTAGTGATAGGTTCTATAGGAGTTGGACGATCCTATTTGGTCAAATACCTAGCGACAAACTCCTATGTTCCTTTCATTACAGTATTTCTGAACAAGTTCCTGGATAACAAACCTAAGGGTTTTTTTATTGATGAGAGTGACGATAGTGACCATATTGATAATAGTGACGATATCGACCGTGACCTTCGATACGGAGCTGGAGCTTCTAACTATGATGAATGTGCTACCTATGGATATGATGCCGGAAATAGACCGATTTTATCTCACCCTTCAATTCGAATTAGCAAAAGCAATGTCTCCTTGCATGGATTCCGAACATTCATGATCTGGATATGAATGAGTCGAATTACTTATCCTTCGGTCTATTAGTGAACTATCTCTCCAGGGATTGTGAAAGATGTTCCACTAGAAATATTCTTGTTATTGCTTCGACTCATATTCCCGAAAAAGTAGATCCCGCTCTAATAGCTCCGAATAAATTAAATACATGTATTAAGATACGAAGGCTTCTTATTCCACAACAACGAAAGCACTTTTTCACTCTTTCATATACTCGGGGATTTCACTTGGAAACGAAAATGTTCCATACTAATGGATTCGGGTCCATAACTATGGGTTTCAATGTACGAGATCTTGTAGCACTTACCAATGAGGCCCTATCGATTAGTATTATACAAAAGAAATCTATTATAGACACTAATCTAAT